CAACACCAAGTTATTATGTGTGATTTATTTAATGTTTCTGGAAAATCCACCATCTTATTTCTTTTCCCAACAGCACTATGTGAAGCTAGTCTTCCATTATTTTCCCCTTGGGTGCTGGAATGATTTCTTTAGGGGTCCATCTACACCATTTTAATCTCTCTCCAATCAAATGCTCTTTGAGGATAGCACAATCATCTTTATGAAACACAACCCTTACTCTACTGCCCTATTTGTACACACAAACTACACACACTCAGTCTCTCTCTCTCTCTCTTTCTCTCTCTCTCTCTCTCACACACACACAATGATTTAGCAGCTTTTAACACAGTCAGAGTAAAGTCCTAACTTTTGCAATCCCAGCATGGTTCATCCCCTGCCGATCTCTGTTGTTTGTTCCTATATCCCACTGCCCCTAGCTTTATGCATTCCAGCTACATCAGCTTTCTTTCAAATCTTGTATATGATGGCAGTCCAAAAAGTTCATGGAAAATGAAATTAAGATATAAATTAAAATTTTGTCCAAAAATTTAAACCCATGCATTTTTCCCTCAGAATACACATTTTACATCAAATTGTTGAGGATCCCTGGAACATCAGTTTCCTTCCCTGTTGCCACAGAGTCTTCCCCCAGCTACACATCTCCTCAGTTGTGTAATGTCTAAAGATGTCTAATCATCTTTTTAATCTTAGCTTAAGAGTCACCCCCTCAGAGAAATCTTCTCCAACTCCCTTGACCAAATACACTTTCCACTACCGTCGAGGCTAGTCCGTGTCTTTCTCCTTCCCAGCAGGATCACAGGTATAATTTTCCTTTGTTTGTGTAGCTGTTTAATTATCACAGGTTTTAATCATGACTCAATATTGTGTATCCAGTCTTGGGTTATATCAATCAGTATTCAGTGTCAAATGAATGGCACTGGATTACCCAGGATGGGTCCATACTTCAAGAAAGGCTAAGTTTTATTAGGCTATGCAATGACTAAATTTAATAGAGAGCATATTTCCTGATAGTGATAAGGGCTTTAAAGGGAAAAAAAGAACAAGGTGTTTGGTTGGACAGGGACCGAGACACAGTGGAAATAAAGGGAAGTTGCCTCGATTGGCGGTTAAGGAAGACTGGGAGAAGACAGCGCTGGGACTGAATCCTGACAAAGAGAAGCAGTCAGTTTGTGAAGGATGCTCTGGATGGCAAAAATCAGCCAGGGCCATTTAGCATACTCTGCACAGCGCCAGAGGCAGCTGCCTTGGAAGAATCTGGCTTTTCCATGTGGATGGAGGTCGGCCGAGGATAGCATTTTTTCCCAGCTGAACCTAAGATGAGAAATGGTGAGGTTGGGTTAAGCTCTTTCTTCTTAAAAACCCTCAGATAATCTATGAATTGTCCAAAACCACAGGGCACTGCAGCTGCTTCTAAGCAAGGAGCTGACTCTCAGGGTTCCTCTGAGTACCCAGAGTCCTGATGAGCAGGGCCCTACTGACTTCTCCAGGGCCTGAAATAAGTTTCTAGTGAAGGTATGTAAGTTCACCCTCCCGTGCTCCTCCCACCTCTCCTACCAGATTGTTTTAAACATGTTTCTCTAGGCTGTTTTTTGAGAACTTACCTTCCTAGAACTATGCTATGTCAAAGAACTGGAAAAAGAGAATGCTACCCTGTGACCACTCTTTCTCAATACATTAGAAAAAAAACACATTCTAGTTCTTGTATATGAAAAAATTAGTATAATTATAAACCGTTGACTTGTAAGATAATAATTCTAATTATAAAATTTAATCTCATCATAATCTAATTATTTAGCTCACAGAAAGCTAAGAG